TTAGAGTAACTCCAAGGTCTGTCGAGTGGCTAGAAATGTTCTCCTGTTTATTCTGCATCTAACCATGTGTGTTTCGATGGAATTCGAGCAGGGGCCGATTTCATCAAATAATCGCCCCCGTCCTTTTGATCGAATAAACTCTGGTCAAACTTTAAATTTGAATTTTGACCGGATAAATATAAAATTTAATCTAATCTGAAGTTTGTACGCAGTATATATATATATATATATGATGTACATGTGCCACAAGAGATATTTCCCTTTTTACTCGATGCCTACTATATAACAGAAAAAACGTTAGAAAGGAAAAAATTTCGTTTGAAAAGAAATGATTTTTTCTATTGACACTTCGCAATATTTCATGCATACATTTTTATTTTTATAGTAAATAAAAAAATATTCGATATGTTTTTGTAGAGAATGAAATGATGAATCTTTGAAAAGAAAAGTCTAAATGATCAAAAATGAAAAAATTATGCAAAAAATACAAAGAGGGTCATTTATTGTGTTACCCGTTAGTCTGTGAGCAAGTAAATGATGAGTTCCATTTCCGACCAAGGGATATATATTTTTTTTCTTGCATTAGCATATGCGATTCATTTTCATACGCACGTACCTATGGTTTATTGTTTGTCTCAAGGTTAAATTTTTCTCGACGCACGAATTACAATTTTTTCTCTATCGTGGATCGAACAAAATCTCAAACTGTTTTTTTATTTGATCAGACTCCAGCCCGATTCGATCTCTGTACTGCACGATGATGGATGTCACATTTAGTGTCGATGTATTTTTAACTGAATATCTCTTACAGCTATTTATAGAACAGAAAAATGTGTATCAGTAGTCTCTCAAAGGGCATTCTAAATATAAAAGGCACTTTACAAAAAAATAACCCTCCTCAAAATATCACTTCAACACTACGCAAATACAATTAAAAGAATGGCATCAAATTACAATGAAGAGATTAAAACCTCGTATCCTCGACATTTTTGTACAGAAACAGAATACTGTTGGACGTTTACAACTACTTACATAGTTAGCCGATATGAAGTCAACTCTTCTCCTATTGTTATCGATATCTGATGAGCAAAGCCTTTTTCATTCATCTCACATGAAGATCTATCAGACAATAATCATCCATGAAAATATTTATAGTGCATATTATTTTGCTTGCTCTGTTAATGGTTTTTGCTTCAAAGGTATGTTATGCGATTTAAAACAAAGATTATTGTCGTTATTATTTGTTTATTATGTATATTCATTGTTGGTCTAGTTTTTCGTTCATTCAATTTAAATCTATCGAAAAATCTAAGATATGTTACGTCAGAATTAGTTGAATTGTCTATCAAACGTAATGTTTCATCTACAAAACCAATCATTCCTCGTTTAATTCATCAAACGTGGTCAAATAAAACAACGCCTAAAGGATGGTTAGCTACTGTTCAATCGGTACGCACATTAAATTTGGAAGATTTCGATTATTGTTTATGGACGGATGAAATGATGGACTCATTCATGAAAGAAAAATATCCTCAATTTTACAAAAATATTTTTATTAAATATCGATACAAAATACAGAGAGTAGATACCTTTCGATACTTTCTTATGTATCATTATGGAGGAATTTATATTGATATGGATATTGGATGTATTAGACCACTTTTACACCTTATTAAAGCGCTCGAAGATAATCAAGAAAAGGAGACCGGTAAGCCAGCTATGACTCTAAAATCTAAAGATATTTTATTTCTAATTTTGTTTCACTTATTTTTCACACCTTTTTAGTGATTGCATGCTTTCCTGAAACAAAACCATTGGGTGTGTCAAATGATTTTCTTATATCAACGAAAAATCATCCACTATTTTCTCGAATGATAAATAAAACATTATCATTTTGGAATAGAAATTTTATTTTGAAATATTTGACAGTTATGTTAAGTACAGGATCAATGTTTTTAACAATACAAACATACATTTATCCTAAAAATGTACGGATACTTCAACACGATCTTTATTCAGGATATTCTCCGTCTAGTTTTACGTGGCATACAACAGGATCAACGTGGCATAAAACAGACGGTTTAATACTATTATTTATTTACAATAAACGTCGAATGATACTATATTTAGCATTAGGATTAATTATACTATGGATGCTATTTTGTTTGAAAATTTTGAGCATTAAACGAATTTCAACGATTGTCCAACGGTTGCGTAAAGTATGCGTGCGTAAAAATGGAATAAGATAATTCTTTTATCTACCGTTCTTCTTGCTTTCTCGATAAGGAGAGTAATCATTTTACGAGCATCATTTGATATCATGTGTAGGTTTGTTGAAATTTTGGTTTAAAATAGAATGTTAGATGAAATACGTCTCGTTGTAGAAGGTTCTTCTTCATACAGCTTAATAAACGTAAAATATATTTCATTTTTTTCGATGGCTGAGTTGTGTAGAGCAGTGTTTTTCTATGAAATGAGATTTTTACTAGGGGGAAAAGCTAACTTTGGCCTTTAGACTTTTATGGATCTTAAGAGTGAGTATAGAGAATACCGAGTGTTCTAAAGTGTTTGCAACATTCTTTCTTTTACATAGATCTAAGTCTCGAAATATAATAAGATCTCAACTTTGTTGTTGAAAGAAGCAGAATTTGTTTCTGTAAAAACTTGCATTTAACTGAATTTAAAGCAAAAGAATTAAAACTTTTATTAACCACATAGTCTGATTATATCAATTTTCCATACCTTTTTTTACTAATTTATAGCTCATGTCAAAATAAATTCAACTATCGAACAATAAATGTCATTCATTAATAACACCAAGGTTTCCAAACATGAATTCATCTCTGCAAGTTAATCGATTGATTACGCCAAAAAATGATGAGCAGATTTCATCTAAAATCGATCTAATTAATAGTTTACTTCATCAACATGAACATCCATCTCACAAGTGTTGTTGTTTATTAGCGAAAACAAAAGAATCCAGTGTCAGTGCTGACTGGAGAAAATTCCATCTCACAAGTATAGCCGCTTATTGATCTTGTTTTGCAAGATCCTCCACACATCCAATCTCGTCTCATCATCACCTTCTCATTCATTACCTATACATATTTTGAACAATGCTACGGACTTTTCATTATCGACATTGACTAAGCGAGTCGAAAGCTCATGTCTTTCCGCATCTGTTCTGCTGTTTGTATCAGTGAATAATTTGAGTAACACTGCTTCATCTCTATTGCTATCGCCTACAACACATGCGACTCTAGTTTCCATAAATGCCGTCGATTAGTCATTGCCATTTTCAAAATCAACACACATGATCCCTGATGGTAATTTAATTCGAAACAGGAAGACAAAAAATTTAACTACAAAGGATACCAATCTTCGTCTGCGAACTGTCCCCTGTTGTTCAATCGGCATGACAACGGATAATAATTCAGATACAATCAGATGAACTATATAATGAAACAAGTCGACATATTTAGTCTATTAAGGCTACACCTTCCCTCTTTTTGGGCTTTCCGTAGAAATGCTGCCAAATAAAAACTAACTTTCAATTTTCGAAACCCTATAAGTCGGTAAAGAAACGTCTGAAATAAAATTCTAGAAAACCTTCTCTGCAATAGTGTCTTGAGTACCTCTGATAAAATTTTGAACTCGATCAGATTTTGAATGAAATTAAGGGGAGGTCGTAATATGGCACAATAAAGCCTGATAGCAAAAAAATAGTTTTCGAGAAAATATGCATTTTTACATGGGTCACTTTTTTCAGAGTATTTGTCGCGATCGCTTATATCTTCGCGAAAAATTGGACGATTCTGTAAAACGTCTCATTGTGAAGAAAAGACTCTCTTCTATCGGACTATGTGTAAGAAAACTTTTGCATGTACGGAAAATGAGAGCAAAAGTTTATGAAACTAGAAAATTGAGTTTTTTTAGGTTTTGAAGAAAAAACTGCAAAAATCCATAACGTTTTGAAGAAAGGTCGTGGAGTACTGGTAGCGGTCTTATTTTGTAGCTCCCACTTTCCTCTACATTAGGCTATGCTCAGCTCAAAATCCGAAATTTTTACAAAAAAGAGAGGAAAGGGGTACTCTTAATTGGAACAAAAACTATGTCGTGTTCTTCCGAAAAACAGTACGAGACCGTTGCTAAAATGAAAAGTTTGTTCGTATAATTGAACATCATTATCTCAAATTCAATTAATTAATCTGATACCAGTGCCGTCTCGATATGATAAACTGTTGTTAGACAAAATAAAGCATTATATGAGTGGTAGAGGGTTACGGTTTTTTCAGTTACTAGATTAACAATTTGCTGTGTAATTTCAACTGTTATTCATCACAACGCGTGCTCAGGATCCATTTTCACTTTCATGAAAGTTTTCAAACGGATTAATATTTAGTCCTAATTGTTGTATTTATATTTATAAAATCTGCTTACTTCCTCCGCAATGGTTTAGCCTCGATTCTTCCTAATTGTTTTCTCAATTCGTCCCTCAAATGCACGCATGGGCTAAATTATTCGGCTTTTAAATTTATTTAATAAACTTTGTAAAAAAGAACAACATTAATAATTAACAATGTATAAACAAAGAGCATGGCCAGCGGAAGGGGCGGGCGACTGCCCGGAGCGCTGGAGGCGCCTTGGTAATATAATTGTGCAATAAAGTTACTTTTTATCTTTTTTTCGGGAAGGAATGGGGGCGCAAAAATAAATTTTCGCCCAGTATCATAATTTTGTTCGCGCCGGTCCTGACAAAGAGCCGTTTAGGATGCTTAAGAAAAGAAGCTCACTAACCTATATAAACTTAAGGATATTCAGTAGGAGTACACACAAATTCTCCGAAAATATTACATTTCACTCTCACTGAACGTGGTAAGCCAGTTTTAAATTATAAAGATTATACCTACACTAAAAAAAGAAAACATAAAACTCGGAATGAAAGGCGTTGTTGTGATAGAAGTTGCACACGTTCAATATCAGTATATTCACAAGACAGGTTAATTATTCGTGAAGAAACATGTCATACATGCACACCAAAATGGAGTATTCGTTGTTTATCATCATGTTCAATGTGGCATTCCGATGGTACATTTGATATTCGTCCATTATTATCTGCTGGTAGAGCTGTTAAAACAACGCCAATTATAAAATGATATCTTCACGACTAGTTGATTTGTCTTGTGGACATAGTGGTATCGTAACTGTTTATATATGTTAATTATTAGTGTTGTTCTTTTTTACAAAGTTTATTAAATAAATTTAAAAGCCGAATAATTTAGCCTATGCGTGCATTTGAGGGACGAGTCGAGAAGGACGAATCACGAAAAAAATTTTAAGGGACACAATGAGAAGGGACGAATTGAGAAATCAATTAGGGACGAAACGAGAGGTCACCCTCTGCAACAGAAGTACGGCGAAAAATTAGTTGAGAACAATTTGAGTGCATACTTCATATTTGTCCTGTTTTTGTGTGAGAAAATACTGTTTTATGCCGGTTTTCGAAATTTTCCTGTTTTTCCTGTATTTTGACGTTTTTCTGCAGTGGTAAAATCTGTTAGAAAGTCGCTGCCTCTTACGTGAATCCAATCAGCCAGGTAGACAAATATGTTTACTTTATTCAGTCAACCAGGAGAAGTGAAGACTAATAGAAATGATATTTACACTAAGGATCAGAATGTTCCTATAAAGACTGACTGTATAAATTCTACAAACTCATGTCGAAATACTAAACGAAAGACGTAAAAAAACTGAAAGAGAAAGAAGAAATGAAGAGTAAAGAAAAAGTGCAATGAAGTATGCTGTTGTTGATAGACATGAGCGCGACGGTCCCGGCCCAGTCCGGTGGGAATCGCGATCACACACAAAAGAAACGGGTCCCGTAAAAGTAAAACTTTCGTTGCATAATCAAATTCCAGTGTTAGTTTCAAACTCGTTTTTCTAACAAATTTTTTCTTGCAAGACGGTAGAGAGCTCTACAACGTAGTACAATAGCAAAAAGCCGCATTGAACATTCCACCAACGGCGAAAATTTTTTTATGTTCTATGGTCAAATTTTTGATCGGAACCAAACAATTTTCTACGAAATCGGGACCAAAAATGGCTGGTCTCACCCATCTCTAGTTGTTGTACGCACAGAAAAAGTGGAAGATGAAAAAAGACAACAATTATAAGACTAGACGGCTAAATAAAAGGCGATATAAGTGTGATATCTACGATTATCTATGACTATGGTTGAATACTGTATAACATTTTTTAAAAAAAGTCAAGTGAATTTTTAGTCTATGCCTAACAATACCTTATTTAACACATTGTAATAAATCTCACTTGTCGTTTTTCTGCATTCGCTTTTTCCTGTGTTTCTGAAAAAATTTACTGACTTTTCTGTTTTTCGAAGGGAAAAAATCCTCTCCTGTTCCTGTTTTCTGATAGTGGATAGTACGAACCCTGCGCTTGAAATAATTTGTATATGATTCAATATTACTCCATTACCAGATTAATGCATGAGTTCTATTTAAAAACATTACATCATTTACTCTTTGTGTGATAGTAACGAATATATAACCCCGTAGTACGTAGATTATGTCACTGTATTAGTCTATACGCACCAATTAGTTACAGGTGATTTTATCGTTTAGCTACCAACGCAAGACACGCAGAGTTGTATCAACATAATAATTGACCTAGCCTTCTGACTATCCTGTTACTCGATAAATTAGAACAGTAAATTTTATTAAAGAATAAAGCTACGAAAAATAGGAGTTTGGGTTTTTCTTTGTTACTATCTTTTTTTATATTCATGTCTAAACAATTTTCGTATCGCACAGAACCAAAAATATCGGGATATCTTTTTTAAAATCTCTGAGTAACAAATGCAGATACCCTCTTTTTTTTATTTCTACGGAGTTAGAAATACTCTCAAAGAAATCTTGCAAAACCAAAAGGGGTGCACTGAAATACCAAAATGGCATTGTAAAATAACGTTAAGGGTATTTCTAATTCTACAGAACCGAAAAAAAAAGAGGATATCTGAATTTATTACTCAGAGATTCCAAAACTCCAGGCATAGAAATGGCCTTTTTTTGGTTCTTTTTCTAGAGAGTAGTGGCTTTGTGAAGATAAGTACTTAAAAGTAATTTGCAGTTATTATTACAAGACAAATCAGTATACATAATAATATATCATTATACAGATATATATGATTATACAGGTAACGGTCAGCGTCGTATTTTAAATGATATAATCAAATTATGTGTAATTATATAAAGAATATATCGGTGATCAACTTTGTGATTCGAAACTCAACTATTTACATTTTAGAATTTCATCATGATGCTCTCTCGAATAGCAATTTCTATTCTTAAAATATTTTCATTTAAACTTTTTTTTCTAATAAAAGGCTAATTTTGTCTTACTATTTATTTCGACAAAAATTTTACTATATAATAATCTAAATATTTAAAGTACTTAAACTTAAAAATCAAAATTTCTAACAGTCTGCAGTTGTTAAACTCGATTCTCATCTATGTCTACCCACATACTTATGAAGATAAGGGTACTTAATATGACAAATAGTTGAACAAATTAAACGTACTGTGAAACTTTAAAGTTTTCAAAAACACGGATTATACCGTTACTATTTCAACCTCTCTGGAAAACTTTTTATTTCTTAAGTAGCTAATCGGAATTTTATTGAATTAGAATTTTCCATGGTAAAAAAAACAAATTGGTGTTCGTTGGTTGTTATTTCTTTTCTTGTCTACCTTTTTGCATGCGATCTTGTGTCCAATCTTTAACTGATTGAGAGTTATTTGGATTATGCGGATGACTTGGATCAGCATTCCTTGGACGGCCTTTAAAGTTTTTCGAAACAGCACCCGGAATTTCCCCCTTTAGAGCAGCCGGCATATTATTTCCAACTGCACCTGGTTGACTTTTCTTCTCCGACATATATGTGCTAAAACATGACAAAACAAAACTGATAGAAATGAGATCTCTCTGAATTCTAGGATTCTAATTGGTTTAGTTGAAAATAATTCTGTTGATGTAAGAACGTCTCTTTATGTTTTTTCTCGGTCTGGAGGGACATAGCAAACAAAAAAGCTGTCTCTATTTGATTGAAAGGTCAAGAATGTCTATGGTGACTAAAGTGGAATAATAATAGATCAAATGAGTTTTGGAGTGTTACTAATCTGGCGATTTGGAAGGAAAAAGTTATAAAAATGCGTTTGTTCTACTTACTACTTTAAATAGTCGTTTAAAAACTGATATGTGAACGATGATAGATGAAAAGATAGCGAATGAATATGTTATATATGTGAAAACACTACAAGGCAAATTTCGATGGAAGAAAAATGAAAACATTTTTTGATGCAGAGAAATTCTGCATAGTGACCAGCTTGTTACTCACATTTAAAAATGACTTCATAATTCTTTTACTATTTTTCCCTCAGTAAATATTGATTTTGGACGCAACTCTTTCTAATAGTTGATGAGTATTAAAGCTCTAAAGCACACTTAGTTGCTTTAAGCGTTATTTGTCAAAGAAGAGAAAGCAAAGAATTTCCATCGAATGAATATAGAACAGCAAAAAGAAAAAGGCACTCAGCACACACACACACACACACACACACACACACACACACACACATACACACACGCGCACGGAGAAAAAGGAGAAATACATAAATAACAACAATGTAAAAGAACAAGAAGAAGGAGCTGCATAAAACGAAAGAAACAAGAGAGAGGTTTTGGTTTAAAAACGTTTCGTGTTTTTGATGTAGCTACTATCAGAGCCACTTGATGTCTCTTTACACTTGCAAACTCACGTTCTCTAGAGCAATTTTATACCCTAGATTGTTCACAAAGGACAAGTGGCAGAATGTAAGGTTTTGTGCCTACAAAACTACACAATGAGACATACATATTTGGAATCAGCGTCGAATTCTAGGTAAAACTGTATTCTCAGATAGTTCAAATTCGTGAAAAAATGTTTTTCGAAAACTTTTACGGCAAAGGAACGTCGAAAAATATTTTTTCTCCAAACTGGTAAAATGACACTTTTCGGACTCAGAAGTGAATACTGATCACGAAAATCGCATTCGCAGTTCATCAAAATGCTTCCCTGTGAAACGGCGGCCAGAACAAAAAATGGGTCAAAAACCGGTTTTTTAGAGTTATTGACTCTCAGCTGCCTGTTATGGTCTGAATGACTTTGTCTATATGTAATTCACTGTGCTTTATTTAAATATGTAAGAATCAAATTGATTGGGCAACGTTCGGCCCTGAAACTTCCAATAGCCTGAAGGATTTTCCGTCTTGTTGATTATCAAAACCACACCTAAAAACCTTAAGCCAATAAGCTATTTACACTGGAGATAGATTATGCAGCGCTCTTTCTAATGATGTGTCGGTCAAGTCGAAAATCAATGTCCAGAGACTTCATCTGACCACAACAGACTTTGCCATAGGTCGTGGTTATACCAAGGGAACTCTTAAGCACTTTCTCTATGAAACTGAAGAGGATCTCTAATGTTTTGTGTATTAAATATTTCGCCACTTAATCCTACAGTGAGTCCAAGAATTGTTCGCCAGTTTTATTTTTCATTTTTCTCGTAGACCATAACAGCTAGAATAAATTTGAAAAAAGATTTGAACAGCTGAAAGAATTTCCAATTTCAGATGATGTATACAGAAGTTCCATCAAAACTTCTGAAATCAGGGTTGCTGCAAACCCCAAATTTCAGAAAACCAAGTCCTCGAGTTCAATCTAGAAATTCTTTACGAACACGTTCATCGTCTAGAGAAAACATTTCTGAAGAAAATGAGACGCCTCCCAGCTCTTTGCGACATTTATTCATGGAGCAACATTCAATTTATGGAAGACCGTAAGGGTGAGGGTGGGATGCAGTTTTCAACAATGCAGTTTTTCACGCTGATTCCGAATATGACCTTATTTTCAAGCAAAAGTACTTTCTCAAGGGAGAAAGCCGCGAAATACTCCAAAATCCGTAGGGCTTTTGGAAAGCCTGGAACGAAGCACCCTCACCGAACTGCGCTTAGCTGCAACCAGTATATGTGGAGGAGGTGCAGACGAACATTTTGAGCTATTTTTCATGTTGATATCTAGTGCGCGGAGTTGCGCGGGTGCATT